TACGCTAACTACACTAGCTACACATACTATACCAACTACATCAACTACGCCAACTACGGCTACTACAGCAACTACACTAACTACACTAGCTACACCAACTACACTAACTACATCAACTATAGCAACTACGCTAACTACACCAGCTACACTTACTACACCAACTACACCAACTACAGCAACTACGCTAACTACACTAGCTACACATACTACACCAACTACAGCAACTACGCCAACGGCGGCTACTACGCCAACTACAGCAACTACACCAACTACAGCAACTGCACTAACTACACTAAGTACACTGACCATACTACACTAACTACACCAACTACACTAACTAGACCTACTACAGCTACTACAACAACTACAGCAACTACGCTAACTACATCAACTGCAGTAACTACACTAACTGCACCAACTACACTAACTACAGCAACTACAGCAACTACAGCCACTACACCAACTACAGCTACTACACTAACTACACCAACTACACTAACTACACCAACTACACCAACTACACTGACTACACCAACTACAGCTTCTACACGAACTACAGCAACTACACTAACTACACTAACTACACCAACTACACCAACTACAGCTACTACATCAACTACAGCTATTACACTACTAACTACACCGATTACAGCAACTATGCTAACTACATACACTAGCTACACATACTATACCAACTACATCAACTACGCCAACTACGGCTACTACGCCCACTACAGCAACTACACTAACTACACTAGCTACACCAACTACACTAACTACATCAACTACAGCAACTACGCTAACTACACCAACTACCCATACTACAGCAACTACAGCAACTACAGCAACTACTGCTAGTAAACCAACTACGGCAACTACACTAGCTACACCAGCTACACCAAGTACACTAACTACATCAACTACAGCAACTACACTAACTACACCAACTACACTAACTACACCAACTACAGCTACTACATCAACTACAGCTACTACACTAACTACATCAACTACAGCAACTACACTAACTACATCAATTACAGCAAATACACTAACTACACCAACTACCCTAACTACAGCAACTACACCAACTACAGCTACTACACCAACTACAGCTACTACACCAACTACAGCAACTACACTAACCACACCAATTACACCAACTAAAGCAACTACACTAACTACACCAGCTACACTAACTAGACCAACTACACTAACTACACCAACTACACTAGCTACAGCAACTACGCTAACTACACCAACTACACTAACTACACCAACTACAGCAATTACAGCAACTACGGCAACAGTACTGGGCTAAGTGGGCATGGAATGTCTCTATATTTGTGACGGTTATCCTGAACCCATTACCTTCCATTGTTAGAGTCAGAGTTTATCAATGCCGTTGTTTAAAGTCAAAAACTGACTGTAACACTGTTTAGCTCATTAAATGATTGAATGCTTCGTTGCAACTCCAAAAAACATGAGGGAGAATGAACACTTATAACGCAGTTCATTTAAACGTAAAAGGGAAATAACAATAATAATTATAACGACCTTGACAAATAGATGTTGTATTAATAATATTATTATTATTATCATTATTATTATTATTATTAGAAGAAGAAGAAGAAGAAGAAGAAGAGAAAGATGGATGGTTATGTTAGTTTAAAACTTGCCATTTTGTCCATCTTTTCCATCTTTGCCTACGAAAAAAATACAGCAGTCAATTACACAGATGAAAAAATCTGATCCTCCTGCTGTATTTACCTGATGTTAATAAATCACCCACACTAAGCAACACCCTCCTTTATTGACGCGAAGCTGTCAAATTAGCTTTCCTTGCATTTATTTAGCAATGGAAAGAATATATCCCAAGGACACTGCATCTTTCTTTTCTCACTTTGATTGCACCCAGGGATCAATAAAAGAAACGATTAAGCTAAGAACTAAGTTAAAAGCCAAGTTTCTGTTCCATTAAGTTTGATTCAGTTACGCTCTTCACTCACTTGTGCCTTAGAGTTTATTATTATGGTTTTTTATCGTCTTACGGGTTACTGGAAAATCCGAACATCTCGATGTTTATTCCACGAAATAATCATAGTTCTAGATTACGTCATATTGCAATTATTTTAACATGTCTTCCTGAATGAAGCACGACCTTAAGATAATTCAATATAAGGATTGTCTAAACGCACTCAGTCAAGTCCTCTATTTTCTTATCATAATATATAGACCGTTTATATTACTTGTCAGAGCTTTCTTGCGAGAAATCTGATGACACACTTTTGTTCTATTGAACTTGCTAAGGGCTTTTGAATTTTCTTTAATACTTCTCTAAACTTCCCAGGTTATGCATCTTGTTTCAGTGTTATTAACCCTTTAAACCCTAATATCAAAATTAAGATTCTCATTTACCGACCCTTTAGTTTTTCAATAGAAGTAGTGGGGAGAAGTTGTTGAAATATCAATTAGACTCATCTTCCCTTCTGATCATGTACTCAATTCTCAAGACCGCTCTGTTTTCTAAACTGAAGCATTGATATTATAATGAGAAATTTCATGCTGATTACTCTTACGGCCCTCAGGGTTAAATAAAAAATATGAATACATCGTATTGAACTAAGCTCCCGGACACAAGTTTAACACCGAGTCAATGTTCATTTTTTTTTCATTAAGTTCTCTGTGAGCTAAATTCGTATTTTCTAATTGGGTGTATTTTTAAAAATACATCATTTTTGTTTGTTTGTTTGCCTTTTTGATTGAAATATTATTGAGCCGTGTTTTCACTATTTCTTTGATGAACTCTACACCAAGCCCAGTAATTCAGTTAATGCAACGTTATTTTTATGACTGGCCGTGCATGTATATGTTAAAACAATTAAGAATAAGGTAACTACATCACCGTTCACTCCATCACGTCCATCTTTCCCTGTATAGGAAGAAAAGTAGAATCGATGGATAGCTTACTGATAATGTCGGGTCTTTTTTTGGGCAGCAGCAAATGACACTTGTCCTTTTCATATTTTGGCACTGCTTAAAACTATTTCTAAACTAGAATCATAATGCGCCATTAAAAAACAAATCTCAGGCGTAGATTTTCATCCTAGTTCGTCGTTGAAATTTATGCTGCACATTTCCTTCAGATACAAATTCGGTCTAACTATTTATGCCGGCAAACTACGAATTAATGATCCTATGTGGGTTTTTAATTATTATTCGTTTGACGACATCTACAGCCACCAAGCTAATGTAGTCAGGAGAATGCCACGTTGTTTTCATGGCTCGGTGCATTTTCAGTGGTGTACATACAATACCGAAAATAAGAAAATATATTACCATTCAATCCATCCCGCCCATCTTTTCCTGGAAAGGAAAAAAGGTGGAAAAAGCAGTCGGTCATATTGTAGAAAGACTGTGTTGTGAAATCTCTCTTAAATTGCCTTACCATTTTGCCCATCTTTTCCTGGGGAGAAATAAATAAATCAAGTGAGCCTCTGATTAACGTTTAAAAGGATAATGGCAGAAAAAACTGTGAGGGGACACAAACATCACATTGAATGTTGAATTTGAGTCAGAAACTTATTTCACGACTATGATTTACTTACCATCTTTTCCACATCCAACTAGGGATACACTTTTACAGTTGATTTCTTTTCCGAGAGATTTGTTCGCCTGTTTGATTAATGATAGTCCAATAAAATAAAGGAGATTATAGACAACCTGGCTGAATGGCACGAAAAATCTTCACGGGGTAACTTTAAGTTACGGACTTTTAAGAATACCGTTGTTTCAAAGTATACGATGAAGGGATCGCATATAACGCAAGACTAGTTATTGTCGTAAATCAACTACATACGGCTTACTTTAGAGGAGTCGTTTTGTGTTGTTCCGAACGAACCGACCAAGAAAATGGCCAAGGCTAGTAAGAATAACAAGCGAAACATTTTCTGTCAGTGATTGCTTAAACTCTAACAGAAGAAAAACTAGTGTCAGGTAAAAAGGGACTGGATTATTGAAACAGTGTTTGGTATAATATTACTAGGACACGAAAATAGCCGATACATTTCCTTTGTTTATTCTGTTTATCTGCTTAATTCTAGCGTGATGTAAATCTTAAATTCTGATTTATGCCAAGGCTAAATTTAAAAGAATCGGAACTCAACTTTAAACAATTTTAAAAGCCTCAGGTTTGCCAGGTTTGCTATTGGGGTACAATCACCCCGTCTTTGAGTTTTAAATTCTCCCTTTATTGTCATTATTGATACTGAAATATTGCTGAAATGATTTTCTCTCACGGTTCGTGAATCTTTTTAAAGGCACTCATGCAAGAAGTCTATATAACGGATTAGTTTCTAAACAGGACTTCCTAGTGTTCGGAGAGTACATGTAGGAAGCGAAGGCAAAAAAGAAGAACAACGTTTTTCTGTCATTTCTCGTTTCCATTTTTTACTCCGCGCCGCTCCCTACCATCTGAACGCCTGAACCAGGCTATGCTATCACCTTTTCTCAAGTAATAAGTGGAATCGAAACTATTCATTTTGTCAAATCCTGTTTCATTCCAATAAAAAGGAAAGATAATCTCGACATTCAAGTATCCGGAATAAAGTGAAAAAAACTAAAGGTAGTCTCAGAAACAAGGTTCATTTACTGTGTGACCCATTAAACAAAAATGCAGGAAAAGGATAGAACGCGAATCGCGTTATATAGACCCAAGCCAAACTGGGTCGGTGAATCAAATTAGATCTTTGTTGATCAGAGGCGGCGGTAGCCTAAGTATCAGTTTCGGAAGGCTAAGGCGGCGGAGCATTTTGAAACTTGGCGGGGGGGGGGCTAATATTTTACTCGCTCCATGCGCAGACCCCAACTCAAATTTTCCAAAATGCCCTTTGCGTTGTTTGTTGGCACAAGTTGAATTCTTTGCAATCTCCACAGTGTCTAGTGTGTCCGTAATCGATTTTTGACAAGTGCATCTGTTAAGGCAGTTGTTCAGGCGGTATTTAGGTAGTTCTTGAGTCGTCTGAGGGCAGAAAATGTGCACTCTGATAGATGTCGCCAATGCCACAGTCGCTAGCGATTTTAGTCGGCAGCAAAACGTAGGGGGCTGTATCCCCGCTCCCACAAATTTTTGTGTGGGTTGGGTCTTCGGCGCCCCCTGGCCCCTGCTCCGCGCCGCTTATGTTGGCATCCTAACAGCGGAATAGCACTAAGGCTATTTTACCGATGAAATTCTCAGTCTGGCTTTAAAATATAAGTTAATCAAGTAGGTTTCGTCTTCTTATCAAATAGTCATCTACTCTTTTTTTGATACATTAAATAATATCGACTATACAAACGACTGACAGAACAGGTTGAATTTTCTTTCACTGACAAATAATGTGAAATTGTGGCGTTAAGTTTGAAGTTAAGGCTAGTTAAGGCATGCGGTCCAGTCAAAAAACCTTCTACATTTTTTTTCTTGTATTTTTTGTACTGTAATTTCACTGTTATTATTTACATTAAAAAGGGTGGAAAAGATTGAAAACATAAGTAGTCCGATGTGTTTCGATCAACTGCGTAATCATGAATAATCTTCAATTCAGATCAATTTAAGAAAGAACATCGATGGAAACAGAAAACATGAAATAGTTCAAAATGCGAAGCCTGGATGTAGTCATTGTCGACTTAAAATAAAGAAGAAAGGACCAATTTCCAATTGACTGTATATACTTGATTGAAAAAACGTTGTCGCTTAAAAAGTATAAACCATAAACGATGAGGCTTCAAGGATTTATGGGTATACGTTCATTAACTAAGCAAATTCAAAGTTCGTACAAGAAAAGTTTACATTTGTCACGAGCTGCTCGTATGGGTGCGAATCCCAGAGTATTTTGTTTTCTATTTATGTCTTCCTAGAAAGCCTTTAGGTCGTTATGATTTTCAAGTGTGCGTAAGCGACATGGGTACGCTCTTTAAGTGTAGAGACCTCTGATGTGCCCTGCACAGGTAAAGTTGTGAGCTTATCACCAAGAAAACTGAAAACCGTTTGACCTTTTTTGGAATGCATCGTCGCGAAAAGCTTCGATAATGTAAACGTTTCTAGAGCGAACTTTAAATTTGCAATGGCAACCGTCCCGTTCTACCGATTTATCTATTCGATCCCATCGTTCATGGTTTAGACGTTTCAAGCGACGTTTTTTCAATCAGACGTATTTTCAAAGGGTCACGGAGAGTCAGTATCCATGAGTTATAAATGCACTGAGAAACAATCGTTTAAGGTGGAGAGAGAAAGAGGAGAGAAGACCATGCACCCTGCCCCTAGGTCCACCCCTGTGTGTCAAACAAATTTTATCAAAGTATGTGTACTTTTATTTCTGATCGCTTCGCATGTTTTTGCATTGTTACGTCACTAGCTAAATAATACAATCTCACGCACTGTGCTTTAAAGCAATAACAGCCGTTCAAACCAAACAAACAAATCCTGACTTTTAGTTATTTTTTTTCATCTCGACAGAAACTCTATGCCAATCTGCATGTCTCATATTTGGGCTCGCCAGTGCCCCCTGGACGTTTGCAAAAATTATTAAGCCTGTGTTGGCAAACTCTACTGAACTTGGGAATTCGCTTGATTCTATATAATGATTATCTACACGGCCTCGTCATCCTGGCAATTAAAATTGCGCACAAACCTTTCTCGCTCTTGACAGTGACTACAGGAAAGAATATACACTATCCTCAACCGGGCAGTAACAGGCAAAAGAGATGAGACTTGTCTTTGCCTTAAGATGGCTTGCTTGGATTTTTCACGGGGTTTCCCCCTATTTTGAGCATTAACTACGTCGCCATTAACAAAGGCTGGACCATCGCAGATGTTTAGATACAGAAAATTGGCCATGATAAGTGTTACATTGACACTGGAGTAGCTATAGCAAAAAAAGTACGTCATAACCAAAATAGTATTGCTTCCAGCCGCATTTCTTGGCACTGTGAGGTTTTTTCAAAATTATTTACAGGAGCTAGTTCCTCCAATAGCTACCTCTCTGTTTGTGAAGTAAGAAAAAAAATCTATAAGATATTAAACAACTATCAACTAGGTGAATAGTGGTGGATATATATACCAAGACGCGAAGAGTCGAGGTATATATCTAGCGCTGTTCACCGACCCTAAGGGGGATAGTTGTTTTAATATTTACGAAATCAGTTGGATAAAAATGAAAAAAGTAAACTTTTGTAAATTAAAAACGTAACTTAGTAGGAACTTTGTTTACAATTTACAAACATTTCGGGGATTGCATCTAGTGCATTTTACGATTTTGTTGCAAATTCAGCATGAAAATAATTTTCTACCTACCAGTAAACACCAACAAGCCAAAGTTTGTCGCTTTCTTGGTGTTTGTTTGTACGAATGCTTCATTTATCGCTCAAATTTCGTCTTCCGAAAATGTCACGAAGCGAGACGCCATCTTGACTCCGTTGGCAAAATGGTGAATAGCCAAGGATATCCCGAGTTACGGAAGCCAATCAAAACGCGTGAAAAGTGCTATTCACTGATTTGGTCAATACTAATTTGGGATATTCACGGCTTGAGGTGGAAGTTAGGGCTAGGGTTAGAAGTGGGGCTGGGGCAAGGGTTAGGGTTAGGGTTGCTCCACCAGTTCTATTTAAAGGTTAGGGTTAGGGTTAGTCATGTGATTAAGATCTAGGTTTGAGTTGGGATATCTTCGGAATATCTTCGGAAAGAGTCGAAAATTGTTGGGATATCTTCCGAAAGAGTCTAACTCGACATGTGTGGAGCAGTTAGTGAGTGCGCGGCGTGTGGAGCACGTGATCACGGGCGTAGAGTCGGAATATTTTCAGAAAGAGTTGGAAAGAGTCTAATTAGATTTGCCTGGAGTCTGGATCCAAATTAGTGAGTGTGCAGCGCGCGGAGCAAGCTCACGCGTGCGCACTTGAGCATCATGCACCGCGAAACAAATCTCCTTAATAGATTATAAACGCATTACTAAGTATTTGCATCACACGCGTATAGCTGTCCCAATTGCCCGCTGGAGTTTCTTATTGCCTTTCGCTAAGAAATAATAACACCGCAAACTTTGTGTCTTTCAAGCAAAATAATTCGGAAGGCTTCATTGGCGCACCATAAATCTTATTTAAAAATAGACCAAATATCACTGATCTCCATGTTGAATATTCGCGGACTTTAATATGGTTTTTCGAGGATTCTTAATTTGCTTATAAGACCACTAAGTTTTACGCGGAATGTCATGTGCGCAACCTCTGAGAAAAACACACTGTTCAATATCTCGAAAAATATGCTATATTAAGTCGGGATTTCAAATTCTTTATGCAGTAGAACAATCAGGTCACTATTTTCGAGGTAATTTTCGCTTATGTAATCTAATTAATTTCAAAAGGAAGAAAAAAGGGGTTAGACGAATACGAAATCGTACTGATTCTGGGGGCAAAACATGCAAACGAGGCCGCGCGCAGCGGAGCGAGAAAAAGCTAATAAACATGCAAATCCTCATAATAACTTGCGTTTGCTTAGAGTTGTTTCTTAGGAATTCACCTACATTTGGCAAAAAAAGTGGGTTGGAATAATCGCGAAAAAGATTGAAAGAACGCAAGTTCATTTTGTTTTTTTATTAAAATGCGACGTTTTTACTGCTACCGCCGTAATGGTATCTTAAACTTAAGTCGTGGCGGGAAAAATCACTTCGATGGTCTACTTCCGGTCACCATACTGGACGCTCCCGTAGTCGTTGCTTAAAGTTTCTCTTATTTAGGTGTTATTTATTTATTTAGTCACTCACAAAACCTTACACAACATGAACAAAAGGTGTTAATTAAATTACAAAATTAATGTGACAAGGAAGCCTAACGAAGCTTGAAGCTTATATTAATAGGCTTCCTTCAACTACCTAGTGAACTAAGTTCATGGCTGAGTGCAGAGTGAGCAAGATCAGAAAATTAAAAGACAGATCGGCTATCAGTGAGATAATTCTTTAGTTTTTTTTTTAAAAACAGATATAGAAGGAGAGCTAATTAGTGAAACAGGCAACGAATTCCAGATTTTAGGTCCTCGGTAAAGGATACTGAAGTGCTTTATATTTGTTCTACAAAAATGAGGTCTTTACTGAGGGGCTAGTCGAGTTTCGTATTGATGGACTTGATTACTACTTAAGAACAAGTCATGAAAGCTATTAGACAAAAGATTATGGTGATAAGAATACATAAAGGTAGCGACAGAAAATGAATTAATACTAAATAATATGTCAAGGACTTTAAGCTGGCTAAATAACGGGGCGGTATTTGCTAGATAGTGAGCTTTTGTTATGAGTCGCACTAGACGCTTTTGCAAAGGGTAAATACAGTTTAGGTTGGAACAGTAGGTGGAGGACCAGGCGACATTACAGTATGTTAAGAAAGGATATACAAGGGAGTAATACAAGGTCATCAAAGTTTGGGAAGATAGGTAAAAGCTGGCTTTCGCAATACCACACTTTTCGAAATTTTTTCTGAGACGAAATCAATATGTGGTTTCCAAGAGAGATGCTGATCAATGAGAACACCTAAAAATTTTGTTTCCGTGACTTGCTTGATCGCGGTATTTTCCAGAGTAAGAGGGACAAAGGTTCGACAAAGGTCGGCTACAACTTCTAGAGATTTTCCTGGAAACAGGCAGGCCCCTCCATGTGGTCCGACTTCTTTCACTTGTCTTACAAACTACTAAAAGTTACTGTCGATTTGCCCCGTCCCCACCCCATGAGACAAGACCACTTCGAACAAATCCCCACCTCCGGCCCCAAGGGGCTGGACTATTCCCGGGGGTTGACGGGAGACATGGAAAAAGTTAAAATTGAACCACACATAAATCGGACTTAACGAGCGTTTGTCAATTCCAGTGGGATCAATCGTGCCTAGAAACAGAAAGCCCCTAGATTTTTCATTCGTCTTAAATTGTTGCGACTTAAGTGTTGCTTGGACCTGTAGCGGAGATTGTTGGCTGAAATGATAAGACAGAAAATAAATCGATTTATCAATTGGTTTGGATTCTTCGTTGTTTTGCCTTAATCATCGCATCATACTCGCTAAAATGGCCTCCTCCACTTTCACCACCCTTTGCTAATTTATTGCTTTGTGCTTATTATTATCCAATAAGCAAGGATATACACAGAAACACGCAACAGATATATTTTTGTATGATTTTCATTAAAATAAAAGTAGACAACCTTTTAGTCTTCCAGGCACATCTTTATTTTAACTACCCGCCGCAATAATAAAGCATTTTTTTCCCACTAAATGAACTACAAACATGTCATTATTTAATCATTCTCTTCGCACAAGACCCCTCATCACCATAGATGAACAGCAGGGCCATTTATACGAGGAAAAGTAAGACGCGTCTTAAATAAGACGCGAACTGTGCCATTTATACGAGCATGTCTTATCTAATAAGACGCGTCTTAGCTAAGCCGCGTCTTATTTTTTTTCCGTTTATACGGAAAGTTCTCGTCTTATGTAAGACGCGTCTTATTTTTCCTCGTATAAATGGCCCTAGTATTACGCTGAAAGTTCCTCTTAATTCTTAGGTTAGCAACTGAAATGTTTAAGTTATTCGCTACGCAAAATCTCGTTTATGCCTGACATTTAATGCTCTAAACCCACTTGTACAGGGCGCTATTTATGTTATATTTCTGACCGTTGTGAGAGTTTGCCACTGCCAGATAGGTATGACCTTTGTACTCAAATGACGTCAAATCATGCGCTCCGTGTGTTGGAATCTCTTGGTACTTGATGAACTGTGCTCCAAAGGCCTGGTACACAACCGACTTAACGCTTTTTCCCTGACCGTCACCATTGTGATTAGCTAAACCCAGGTACGTTCGACCACTGATCACAAATGGAAACCATGCAATACCACCTCGACCAGGAATGGACTGGAACAGGACGAACGTGTTTCCATTCCACTTATAAATGAAGGAGTCGAAGTTGTATTTACTTCCAGAATAAAAGTTGGCAAAAGCGAGGAAAGTGTGACCGTTGATGTTAAAGGACCTCACGTCTCGGGCACCATATGTCTGAAGAGACTGCAGTTTGACAAAGTGTCCCCCAGTCCACTTGAACACAGTAGACTGAACAGAATGCTTGTGTTGGGAGTTGTAATAATTTGCAAAAGCAATGAAAGTGTCGTTGTTTATGACAAACCCCGTACATCCATGAACACCTTCAGTTGCTATTTCCTGAAACTTAATAAATTTGTTGCTGTTCCATTTGTAGACTACTGATTTCGTTGAATATGTACTTCCATCATAGTTGTTTGCAAAAACAAGGTAAGTTTCGCCACTTATCCTGAAATGGGTGAGGTGGGTTGCTCCGTAAGTAGATATTTTCTGAAAGTCAACAAACAGCTTTCCATTCCATTGATAGATTGTGGAGTCCAACTGATATGTTCCATCGTAAACATAAGAAACAGCAATGAAATGTATACCAGCGATTGAAAAGTGCTCAAGGCAACTGGCTCCTCTAGTCTGTAGGGTCTGGTATAAGGAAAATTTTCCTGTCAACTCGTCCATCTTGTAGATCATGGAGCTTGTCTTGTGTTTCTTAATGTCACCATAGTAGTCGGCAAAAGCAAGAAACAGACTTCCATCAATAGTGAAATGATCCACGTACACTGCTCCTAGGGTTGGAAGATCTTGAACTTTCTCAAAGAAGTGGAAACCAGAGGAGCAATCTTCATCAAATCAGAAACACAAAGTAAGAATATAGTAAATTCATTTCTTGTTACAACTGATAACAACAAAACAACAAAATTTACCCCAAGATGAGGCCCAGTTTTAGTGACGCTGTTTTACAAACTTGTTTCGTCCTGCCTAATCTTTATTTTCTGACAAGGGCTCTTCCGCTGTCAATACTAAAAACTAATTCTAGAAATATCCCATCAATCCCATTATTTTTACTAAGAATCTAGACATTTACAAACTTAACAAGTAATTACAGTACTTTGCCTCAAACTTTTTTGTATCACTAGAAGTTTCCTTAATCTCGTTTGGGAGATTGTTGTTCTTAACTTTGCACCTCGAAAAGCAAATAATCGTTGTCTTATTTTCAGCCTACGGATTGGCAGATCTAATTCGCCACCGCTTCTAGCGTTTTTGTCGTGAATCTTCGACGGCTGAATAAATTTCCCGTTAAGATGGCTGGGTATTTGGTCATGAATATACTTATGAACCATTACCATATATAGCTAGATCATTTAAAAGCTGTCTACCACTCACGCTAAACCACTTCAGAACGAATATTTAAAAAATAGTGAGTATATTAGTGAGCGCTACTAGTGAGAATATTAATAAAATAGTCGGTGATCTGGTCGTATTTCTTTAAACCTGAAACAATTCCAGGTTCAGGAATTAGACTGGAAAGAATTAGGAAGGACTACTAGGGGTACCTTCTGGCAAGTGCCAACGAGGCGAATTCGTTTATCTTTTGTGGAATGTGCCTACTCCTCAGATCTTCGCGATTTGTGACGTAATTTTAGAGGTTTAAAATGGATTCCGCCATAGAAAAGGATGGTACTCGACTTTGAAACAACAACTTTAGCACATTCTAGGCTTTCACTTTTATTAACCAATTATCATAAAAATCCAGTCGAACCTCTCCTAGTGGCCACCTTCTTCTGTCCCGGCGGACAACCAGTAAATCCACTTTCGTTTTAACCCTTTAAACCCTAAGATCAAAATATGAATTCTCATTTGTTGCCACTATCCATTTCCTACAGAAGTAGTGGGGAGAAGTTGATAAAATATTCATCAAATTCATCTTGTGTGATCATGTCCGTAATTCTCATGACCACTCTGTTTTACAAAGCATCAATAGTACAAGGAGAAATTTGATGCTGATCACTCTTAGGGCTTAAAGGGCTAACCTCTCTAAAACGGCCATTTAAAAGCGAGTGAAGCACCAACTGATATATTCCTGTACCTTCTTCCCTTTGCTTAGTTAACTTTATTTTTTATTGTTTTTGTTTAATTAACCTATATAGATTAATCTGTAGTTTAAAAAACTACAAATTTTCTACCCTTTTCCAAAAGAAAGTACTGGTCTCAAAGGCCACTCGAAGCTGACTCGCCTTTCTACAGTGGCCTCTTATCTCCGTAACCAAGATGGCCGTTGTAGAATGGTTCGACGGTATAATTTGATTCACCATATAAGATCACTCGTTTCCGTCTTCCAAACTGACCTTTTCCTCTCACTTGCATTAAATGAAATTTCTTAGTCTCTAAAAAAATGTGAAAGTGGCATTACCCGGTGCCACAATAAATAATTCACATGTCCTTACCGGCTGAACAGCAAGCTGATGCAGTAGACGATAAGCTCTAAAATGCATAACAGAAAAAAGGGAAACGAAACGTTATAAAAATTGCGCGTTACTGAGTGTGGCCGGGTTTTCTGAAGTCTTAATCGAGTTCTAACCGGGTTATGCAAATCAAGCAAGAACAATAGATTTTCTCAACCAGGTTAGGGTTTTTTAAAGCACCTCGCGAGATAGTTAAACGCAGGTGAACCTTATCAATCAGTCATTTTCTTTTATCTTATTCTTTAAATCTTTAATTTCCACCTTAGCTTTTCTTATCTTCGGTAAGTGACATCATAAATGAGTTAAATTGTTAGCCCTACTAAGGCAAGTAACGGTTTTACTGTCCTCAAAGAAAATCAAGGATACACAAAGATTTTGGCTCTTTCTCATCAAATTCTGGTAAACCATATTAGGTTCCATATGAGTTTTTCCAGATTTTGGAAAACAAATAACCGTCTGGTGTGATAACGCGCAACAAATTAAAAGGTAAAAATGCCCATATCCGCCTTCACGTTCGGAAGCCAAATTCTGAATTTCTAATAGGAGATATCAAATTCAAAATCACAACATCTATTTTTTGCTAGCTATCAATAACTTTATTACTTTTTAAGAGGAAAAAACCCTCAAAAAGTAAAGTTTCCCGGAAAATCGTAAGCCGAGAAGAGATTATATATTTAGTACGGGCAGAACAAGTTAAAGCATTATTTGCATGAAGTATAAGACCAGCGCCAGACCTTAGCATCACACGTTCCAGGCATTCCTTTCTCTCCTTGTGATCCTTTGTCTCCATGAGGTCCCTTCTCACCCAGATGGAAAATGGTAGAAGTTAGCAAATTAATTAGATAGCAAAATGCAATTATGTAAACAAATGTTCACTGTTTCATTTTTCTCGTATGTCCCCTTTTAGGTAATTCCAGTAAATTAATATAGCCCATGAAACAAGTCAGTTTCTGATCTGATTCACACATGGATATCTGTGCAAAGCTTAGGTGGTCGATGGTCTGTCTTTTTACTTAAAATATTTCATTTTCAGTATTGGCTGTACTAATTTCGGTTAACAAGCCAAATAAACTGAACCGTGATAAAATTTGTTATTATTTTTTGAGAATAAATTAACAAAAGAAGACAAAAACGTAACTGAATGTGGAAAAGGTAAAAATAAACACACATATGAACGATCTATGTCAAGTGCTGGTTCCCCCAACTGCCAGCCTTATTTACCCTTTATTTTTTCTTAAAATCAAACTCGTCAGTATTATTGGATAGTTTCCAAAATCAACTGCAAACACCAATAATCATTGTTGTTCACTTTATGGCTGAGCACTATAACACTGTGTAAGAAATTTAAAACGAATTAAGTGGTAGAATAACATAATTGACTGTCCCTGTCCTGCGTCCCTGCGGCACCGTTTAAAAGGAAAATCACTGAAAACAGTCGGTCGTAGCAAGGATTACATTAATCAGTTTAAGCAATTAACTAACTGTACCTCTGTGATATTTCATTATGCTAGTTTCACTTTGCAAGTTGAAAGCAAACTCAGCCATAATGACTGGAATTATTTCAAAGAAACTAAGGCCGCTTAGTACCACATCAATAAGTGTTTCTATAGCTGTTCAAAATGTTTTATCCATGATAAAATGGATTGGCAGGTTCAGATAACCAAGGCTAAAATTACAATGGGGGAAAGAGGACAGTTTTGCCGGCTCCAATGATTGAAGGGTTGCATGGAGAAACCGAGGGTTTAGAAAAAGAAACTAGGATTCCACTCAGTATTTCAAATTTAGAGGCCGCTTGGAACCCAGTTTATAGAGGTTCTTCAGCTGGCATTCCCTTAAAGCTAGTTAAACAAATTTTCTGGTCACTATCCAGCCAAAAAGAAAGAAAACTGCCCAAAATCTTGAGTTCAAGTTGAGCACTGTGTTGGCTTTGCCTCTGCCCGTTTAATTGACTGTTATGAATTTATTCTTTACCTGTTTTGTTTTGTTTTGTTTTCTCCTTTGCTCAGCATTTACGGGAAGTGCAATCATTTTTGTGGGAAAGGTTTCTGCGAAGTCCCAAGAATCTTAAATTATTTCAAAGGAATACAAGCAGAAACTGTGGAACAAGATTTTCATTGGAGGTTTCCGTTAGCTTAACATATGGTTGGGTTTTCCATTTTTCTCTGGCTTGTTTGACTGACTGCCGCTAATTTCGGTATGGTTTCAAAGTTCTTGTCCCCCCTGCAAAGTGTTAAGCTAATAGTGAAGCACAAATTATTTACTGTACCTTAATACCAGCTTTCCCATCTTGTCCAGGCATCCCCACCTCACCCTTTTCACCCTAAACGAAAAAAGCCACACAAACAAAAAACACACCTTCTTCCACTCCTCATGGAACTACGACACTCTCATCAAGCTCATAATTGGTTAAGCGGTATGCTTTTACATCGAATTCGCTTGAGCCATTTCATCAGCAACTTTATTTGTCTTCTCAATGTAAAAGCATTCCACTTGGATATTTCTGATTTTTCAAAATACAAGAAAGCAACAGACTTCATATTTGGAGACAGAATAAGTGATAGAATTAATTATAGAGCTAGATTTTCATGTTTTGCCTTCCTAGAAAAATGGGCCAGTCACAACAAGGCATGATGTAATTGTCACAAGGGGGGATCGGAGTTAAAAGGCCATTGGGCTTTTGTGTGATGTGAAGAATTATGCAAGTCTCAGAGGATGTTATCCACCTCGGCCTCCAGCTTCGGTGGATAACATCCTCCTTGATCTGCATAATCCTTCACATCCGACTCAGTCTGACATTCAATAATTGCTAAATATACAGTATATGTGTGTACAAAATACTACAGACAATGAAATGAAAGTTGCAACTCGGACCATCTACCTCAGGGGAAAAAACTTATAATAACATTAAGTTAAAAATTACCAACCTTAGCTCCACTTGCTCCGTCACGTCCATCTCGTCTATCACGGCCATCTCTTCCTAAATTAATTTAATACACAATAATCAAATATATCATTCTGTCATCAAATTTGATGCCCATTTATAGCTACTTAAGGGAGTGAGTGAGACTTTCTTGTCCAAAAGCAACACAAGGAGGCCAGAGAAAGCAAAGGAAAACTCCATCAGTCTAGGGGGTGATTAAAAAACTCTTTATTCCAAAAAAATGTTGGCTTCCACACATGCCCAAACTTTGACAGCCATTGCATAGCACTGCTGTAATATGTTATAGCACTGAAACAAAACTAAGAGCATTGTTTTTGACTTGTGAACAACATTTTGGGTCGTTTTGCTTCTTAATGGCCAGATATAGTGTTCAGAAAACAGCCCAGCCTCTACGGGCAGTTGTCAGCAAAAGTTCCAGGAGTGAATAGGTTAATGTGGTTTTATAGTATAGGAAACTTCTAATTTCTCCCATCGGTTCTCTCTTCAAATAATAAAAAAATACAGCAACCTACTTAAACAAAGCTGAACTAAAAAATCTCTGCACTATCTTGCAGTTAGAGTTCTTATATTTAAAGCATCCTTTTTGAGCTTTCTGCAGTTTGTTCAGCAAAAAACTTAACAAGTTTTCTGCCCCCACCCCTGGGCCCCATACCTATCCCACCTTGACAACAATAAAAATTGTTAAATATTATTAATTAATGGTGGGTATTAAAGTGCCCTCCTTAAATGAGTATCAAATAAGGTCTGGTCACTTTAAATAATATATACTTTTAGTGAAGGCGAAGCTCTCAATCAGAGGGATCTTTTAAGAATTTTTTTTCTCAAGTGATTCAGCATTTGCCATAAACAGAAAGCAAACTGGATTACAATGTACTAAATTCTACCTCAAAAAATGGATCCCACGATCAATTGAAAACCAATAAGTGGTCAGTGGATAACTTTAAAAAATATGTCACTTCAACGAGTTGTATACCTGAGCCCATGATATAGTCAAGTGACACACTGGTCAGCACATACTCTTTTTTGACAGCTGTCAACTGTCAAGTTTAACACAGATAGTGTGTGCCTTGGCCTGGGCTCCTAGTTAGTAAGGGTTATCTGCTAACATGAAGGGGTACGTGGATGTACGGACAATTTTGTCACTACCAAAATGTTTTGGATGCATGGATAACCAAATTTTCTCACCCAAGGTGCTTTGTGCACCCAAATGAAAGCTCCAGGGAGCCCTATTATTGCATGTTACAGCTAGGTTACAAATTTAAAAGCCTTTTGATATGAGCACAGCAATGTTTCATTTTTTTTGAGATTTTTCTCTTGCAAATTGCCTTCTTTACAGCAATTGACTTGTGACACAACTGCACAATTCTTCAGTTTTTCTGTGGATCCATTCACCTAGATGAAACAAAATTAACATCTCCATGAAATATATTAGGCCTGAAAACTCACACTAGGTACAAAAAATAATACTTAAACAACAATAATGCAAGAACTCTCTGATATGCTAAATAATATTATTAAATTAATCAATCTGCAGATTTATCTATATGTGTCTGGCCCACTTGTTTAAAGGCTCAGTAGTGCTAACGTGGGGTAAAATTTTAATAATGTTTCTTTTTCTTTTGTTGAAAGGCATTTTTTCCGACAATTCTCTTCTCTTTCGTTCAGGGCATCAAATCATCAAATTGCAGACTTGAAATTGATGGGATGTATTTATTTGCCATGATTTGTGATTGTAAAAAATCAAAAGTTATGAACTGTGGTCAGTATGCCAGTCATGATAGTTTAACTAACTTTTAACTAACTTTATATTAAATGACCTTAAAATGTTTTTTTTTTTTTCGTGAACAATGAATAACTACTACTTGTCAAAGTCCTACAAAGTCTACAGTCTCTGGGTGCCCCTAATGGTTTCTTAACATGGTCATAATTTACCTGCTTTTAATTACTGTAGTGATGTTTGGCACTTTTGTAGCAAGCGTAGTAAAGACAATTCGGAACAACTCAATAAGCAGGCTTTATTAAGGATGTTTCTGAATAGTTATCTTGACAATGAAACTTTACTTAAAATAGTACTGTCTGTGAATCATGAATCTTCTCCTGTTCAGAACATTCTAGTCACTTAGTGTACAAGACTCTTTATGGAATTACTCCACCATATCTCAGATCACTACTGAAAGAATGAACAACAGCGTACAACCTCAGAGGTACCCTAAAATTGAATCTACCACAATTTACAACAACCTCCTATGGATTACAATCGTTTGGACATGCTGCTCCCCAAGTATGGAAAAAATCACTGCCTGATAACATAAGAACTTCTGTATCTCTCATTACTTTTAAGTGTGCTATTCATAATATTACTGTGTAGATATTTTTTCATTAACATGAGACTAATAATATGTGCATGCGTAGCAATTTTATACTTTCATACTTATCTATTTTATTGCATTTCGTAAATATTATTATACGCAGAGATACTAGCTCTCTCAAGCTATTCTAAATCCGAGTTCAAATAAAGTTATATGTATGTGTAACTATGTAACGAAGAAGGCAAAGGTGACGGCGATGGCAATGAGATCAACAAGTAAATGAAAAACCACAAATTGTACACGTCCAGCATGCTTTTCTTTACAACCTGTAGGAACACAACCGTAAATTTCCTTCTGGGACAATGTTTCGAGCTGAGGAAGTAAACACAGGGACAAATGAGTCCGAATTTGGGTGTGGTCCCCAAGACTCCGTAGGGAAGTTCACCTATATTTGCCAATTTAAGAGAGTTGACGGAAATAAACGCAAAAAAGTTTTTTTAAAAAAACGAACACATATTTTGATAGCTAGGGACGTTTTCCTTGCCCTTGCCTTCATCGTTGCTAAGGCTCCCTATAGTCATGAAAGTGACAGTTCCATTTCGGTTTTACTGCAACTCATATGATCAAATGCGGAAAAGTACCGGTATCCAAATAAATTGGAGAAATTGTTTACACTACAAAACATTGCAAATTTACAAGGCTTCTGATTCACTTTAGATTTCTGCTTCAAAATCTATAGAGACTTGACCAAATCAGCACCTTTTCAATTTGGATTAATGCGCTGCATTTGCTTAAAAATGACAAAACAAACCCACTAACAAACTTATCCAGATTCCACAGCCTTATTATATGATAGATGATTGACCTGCATCAGTCAATGGACCTAAACATGCGACAAAGTATTTAAAAAGTTGCTAATGTCATTTTATATGCAGTTAAAACTCTCAGGCTTACAACGTAACCTAATCTTTAATCAAGGAAGTTTTTTTGAGGGGGGGCGGGGTCGGTGGGGTTGTGGGCAAAGCGATTTGGAGAATAGTGTGTACCTCCGAAAAAATCCTGGCTAGCCCCTGTTTACCCCTGGTCCGCAGTCTTCGTTTTACTAAGGAGGTAAAACGTGTTCATTTTTCAGCGACGCGATAGTGTTCTTTTTTTTAATTTTAAAAGGCAAAGGTGATATTAGATTTTGTACCGAACACAAACACGAAACAAATTCTCTCGTTCAACTATAATATAATTTCCAAGTATCATTGTACACAAAGTTTTACGTGTAATACGTCAAAGGAACCTTAAAGCAACACATGACTACCAATAAATTTGCAATGAAAGTGACCAACTAGTAAAACTCACCGGGAAAACTCACCTTTCTTTTTACTGCACTACGACATTTCGGGCGACTGGGGCGACATTTTGGGGTGTCTAGAAAACGACGACCTAGAAAACAAAGACCTACGACCTAGAAAACGACGACCTACTAGAAAACAACGACCTAGAAAACGACGACCTAGAAAACGACGACCTAGAAAACGACGACCTAGAAAACGATGACCTAGAAAACGATGACCTAGAAAACGACGACCTAGAAAACGACGACCTAGAAAACGATGACCTAGAAAACGATGACCTAGAAAACGACGACCTAGAAAACGACGACCTAGAAAACGACGACCTAGAAAACGATGACCTAGAAAACGATGACCTAGAAAACGACGACCTAGAAAACGACGACCTAGAAAACGACGACAGGAATGGGGTAGCTCGAAGGATTAAGAGGTTAGAGGGGTACAGAAGGCGGGAAAAAAGAGGACGATACGAGGGAATTATGAAGGGGTGATCTAGAGGTGGGCGAAGAAGGAAAAGTACAGAAAAATAGTAAATATTATTTGTACCGGTTAAGGGTATGAAGCCAAGGAATAAAACGGTGGAACTGGAAATGCAAGGTACGCGAGGTCTCCCCTCTGTTTCGTTTATCAAACAAGCGTTGCCTGTTTGTTATTGGATAGATTTATTTGATGACAAGAATTGTATTAGCTTATTGTGTTTCAAACCAGTTTTTCAGTAGAATCGAAGTGAGAAAGAAAATAATTTACAGTCTGTCTATAAATCCGCTTACCTGAAGAATCTGTTAAAAGAATTTGCTAACCTGTAAAGTGCGATTGTTGTAACGACCCGCCACAGAAGTAAGTTAACATTGAAGTTTTCTGAATTTAGCAACGAGATTAAGACGATTTGTGTTTGTTCTGATTGCGAATTATAAATGTATTTCTTTTAGATCGAAAAATTATTAAAGCTTGGTGGTCATTGGAGCTAACCAGTTCCTAAGGAAACACCCTCCCCCTCTAGAGCTGGCTGGGGTGGTGGACAATAAAGTGTTTACCAAGAGAGGATAACCTCTCTTGGTGTTTACTGATTAAAAGTATATCGGGTTAGTTTCATAAGCGATCCCGGAGTGTGTTAATAAAAAGAGGTTTGGGGAACGAAGTATTTCTAAAAGTCAAATTTCGGAAATTTTCACGTTTAGGCGGAGATGCTCGATTGATTTATTGATTAACGTAAACCTTCGTTACATGTTCCCCGCGAGATACCTACATCTATTGTTCTTGCGTTATTTTCGTAACGCGGTTTATAAAACCGTCTCTCGCATTTTTAAGCAGCAGTTACAGAGTTTCTAGTGTCGTCGCAGGAGCTATTGTTTTGTCTTGGACATTGCATTGTGCATTGCGTGAAA